AAATGGCTGAAGTGGAGAAGAAGGTTTGTTAATTTTCTGAAGAAATCTGTGATCTGAAGTCATGAGATTTAACAAGATTATCACAAGAGGAATAAGAAAGAATGGGATAGTCCAGGAAAGGTCTTGGAACACCCATCTTCAGAGAAGGGAGGTGGTGATCAAAAAAAAAAAAAAAAAAAGGTGGGGGGAGCAGGCAGAGGAAACAAGAGAAGTCAAGGTTTTCTTTAAGAAAGTCAAAAGGAACCTACATAAGGACGCCATGAGATCAGATTACAGTGCATAAAACAATGTCTCCTTTGTAACACAACTCATTATTTATTAGGGAATAGCCAATATTTACGTTTTGCTTTCATCTTTAATCGGCATACAAGGAATGTTCACTTACTTTCAGACCTTCCTAGTTTTAAAATATGTTTTGTTTTAAGCTAAACCATTGATATGTTGAACTATTTTTGCAAATATTATTCACTGAAGAGTTTCATGTTACTATATGTATAGTGATATAATTCTAGCAAATTGTTATCATAAGAATGCATTTTATGAAATTGATCTTAGACAGAGGTAATTAAGTTTGACATCAGTCTTGCACTTAAGGAGTTTCAACAACCATACTGCAATATCTTTAGCAGCACAAGGCATCTGGACATAAAAAGGTACAGAAATTTGGAGGATGAGAATTTGCTTTCTGTTTGGGGAACTACTGAAGATTCATTGAAAGAAGAAGCATCTGAGATATTAACTAAATTGTGTGGACCAATCCCCCTTTCTCTATTTGTCTTTTATGTTGCTTTAAGTTTTAAGCTAGCCTAAGTTAAAGAATCTTACATTTACGTAATTAAAATGACAATTCAAATAAGTATTATTTTATTCTCAGCATATTATATTTCTCACCATAGTACCCACATAAACGCAAATGGAGAAACATATTTAGGAAAGGAATTTTGTTGATGGTAGTTTCTGTTTTCATTTCAGTTATCTTTCATTCTTCTATTTATACCCCTTTTTCAGATTTAGGTTGAAGTCAATGGTAGTATTTCAGTATTAGGACTAAAAGTTCAAAATACTTTTGTAGACTACACACATAATTATGCAAATTCCATTTTATTTATTTGTCTAAATAATTATTTATTTGTTTTGTATAACATATATTCATTTATTTTGTGTGACAACAAATTATTTGTTTTCTGGACTACTGTAAAGTACTCTATTCTTTTCCCTTTCACAAAAAAATGTGAAGATATATTTCTTAATCTTTTCTAAAATATAACATTTATTTCTTTTTCTTAGTGTTTAAATTGCCACATACCCCTTCCTTCTTAGAAGTAAGGATTATTTTTCCTGAAAAAAAGATGATAGCATAATACTTAATACCACCCAATTCTGCGGCCACTATTTTCAGATTCTGAGGGTAATTTCTAAGTCTTTTTTGTTACTTTTCAAGACCTTTCTGTGAAAATAGGTTACCTTGTTATTCTGAGTATCAATTACCATGTACTTGGCTCCTTCTTGATACTATGGAATTGAATTCCTCTTCCTTTCAATGTCAACAATAGAGGATTTATTCAGCAACCTGAAGATGGTGTCAATTGAAATGGAGAAAGGAAGGCAGCTCTTTTATTGCATTTAGCAATAAGGGAGAGATCTTCTCTTGTTCCATTACTTCTCATTGCCTGAAACGGAACAATACTGAAATTGAACCCCATCACCTGCCTAGATTGCTGTAACTCAAATGCACCTAGCAGGTAATATGCAGTTTCTGAATATGAAAATCCAAATTTCAAGATGTCCTAGGTCTACTGCTAACCTGTTTCCCAGAGGGAGATGCAGAGCAATTATCTTTCACAGGGTAATGAAATGTTTCCATTAGGGCAAGTTAATATTGAAATACAAGGATAGTAAGTATATATTCTTTGTCCTGAATAAACAAAAGACTCATATTGCATGCTAGCTGTTGTTTATCTTTTAGGACAAGCAGACACCAAGAAGGTACTAATATTAGAAAATAAAGCCACTGCTTAGTTTTCCCATTAGGTAAATGTGATTTTCCATTAATCACATGATCTTACATCATCTACTCTATTCCCTGCCAACAGTGTCTGCTGTTAAATTTCATATTTGTTCAGTAGCAAATGGATTAAAAATAAAGTTTTATATTTTAAGCAGCTTCAATACTACTTATTTTTACCTGTATGGAAGCTATGCTCCAAAAATTAGTTTTAGTGTCATTATAAATACATTCAAATGGGAAAAAAATCTATAAAATATTTAACATGCCAATAAGTCTAATGTATATATTCAATTTTGCCTATTATTTTTATTGCATTTTTAATATTTGTATTTTCTGTTTTTTAATTTTGTATTTCTATTTTTTGTGTTATATCCAAGAAAGTCATGAGAAAGATGCAATGTTAAGGGTCGTTTGTTATTTTGTCACAAGTGTCTCAATTTGGATAATTAAACATATTTTTAGTGTCTACCATGAGCAACTCATACCTGCAGTAGGGGCATAAAGAGGAAATAGATACCGATTCTATTTTGCACCCTGTCTTCCCTCGTTAATGTACTAAAGACCAATGGAACCAGTGAATGTATACTACCTATGGGTTATCCCAGCAGGAAACACTGGTGAAGTCCTGAAAATCAGGATGTAACTTGAGTTGAATCAAGTTAAAATCTGTTTAAGGGACTCGCACCAACTTCCTTCCTCTCCTTCTACTGATTGGGTAGACTGGTGTGATCTAAGTGATGTGGTATGCAGGCATTATAGCATTTAGTCTTCTGCAGCTCCACTGTGGATGAGGCCAGCAGCACTACCCGCAGAGGGTGAAGGGGTTTCCCATTAAGCAACTGCGGTGCTTATGGTAGTGTTCTCATTGCTACATAGACAGTGCGGTTTCGTATTCTCTCTATGGTTTAAATAATAACTGAGATGTTAACATTATTACATAAAGATCAATTAGTTGGTTTAGATTCTCATTTATTCATTTACTCAACCAGAGTTTATCGGTGTCTGCTGCAGCAGGCACTGTGCTAGATGTTGAGCTGACACAAGAAATAAGGCATGCATGTCATGGTCGTGACGCTTGCAGTTTTCTAGAAAATCAACAAAAGCAACAAAAAGTTACAGTACTTATTTTATAAAAAATATAACCACAAGTTCTGATAAACACTGTGGAAGGAAGCAGGGCCAGCTTTATTATTTCAAAGGCTGTGCTGTCATTTAGATACCGTAGAAGGACCTGCATTTGTGCTCATGTTCTGCTGGCACCTCCTGAAAATTCTGAATTATTTTCTAGTGAAGGACATCATATTTCCAGTTTTCACTGGGCCCTAAAAATTATATAGCTCATCCTGGGAAGATGCTATAACAGTTATAAAGAAGTAGACACCTAATTTAGAAATGGTAATAAGGGAACACTGACTCGGAAAGTAATTCCAATCAGGTTTTAAGTCATAGTATAGGGTAAAATTAATTCCAGACCCAGCTCTTTCTCTACTCATGAGCTAACTAGAGCTGTAGCTAAATCAGTGTGGATCACAATTAACAAGTTAACTGGTGGAAGAAGCCATATGCATATACAATATATTTACAAATTCTTTAAAAATTTTTGTGAAGAAATCTCTTTATAAAAGCAGGAAAACTATATAATTTACAGGATAATAAAATAGGCCAATGAAGTATTTTAAAATGGTCTGTCTCAATAATCAGTGATATTAAAAAATAATCAAATATTAGATAGTCAACTTCACCATAAAATTAGCAATAAAAATAATATCCATTGTTGGTCTATTGGTCAGTGTTCTTGTTGCAGGTAGCATTTGGTTAATTGGGATGATATGGGGATGCAGTTTATTATAAAGAAATTTGATAATTCACAGAGTTGGAAAGGGTGTATTAGAGAACAAAGCTTTGCTAGGCTCATAGGAATAGTGTCTAAAACTGTGCTCAATAATTTCTCTGAAAAGAAAGTCACCACAAATGTTACCGGCCTACATAGCAAAAGGCAAAGCCACTGTTCCTTCCTCTGTACTGACGCCACTTCTGACTTGGGAAATATATAACCACTGCACCCAATTGGCTGACCCTCATTCCATTACGCCTATCGGCAAAATAAAAGTTGTAAAAGGCTTTCTTTGTTAACTCTCCTGTCATACAATAAGCATCACCTATTTTTAAAAAGAAAGTAAATGTTTTCCAAGTTCAAAATGTGTGCTTCCAACAAAAAAAAAGAATAATTAAACCACAGAATGGAAAATATATTTACATCTTACTTGATGAAAGACTTATACACATATACAAGGAACTCCTCCTATAAGTCAACACTTAAAAGGAAAATACTACAATTAAACAAAGAATTATGATATAACCCCAATATTCCACTGCTCAGTATATATCCAAAAAAACGCGGAAAAGAGTACATTTAAACAAAATGTTTATTGCAGCTCTATTGACAATAGCCAAAAGCTGGAAACAACCCAAAAAGTCATCAAGAGATGAATGGACAAACCGTGATATCTGGCATACAGTGGAATATTATTTAAAAGAATGAGGTACCAGTATGTGCTACAATGTGAAGAAGCTTTCAGAACATATCAAGTAAAAGAAGTTAGGCACAATAGGTCACATTCTAACCAGTTATACGAATTACTCAGAATAGATTAATCAATAGAGACAGAAGGCAGATGGGTGGTCGCCAGAAACTGGGGGGAGTCGGGAATGAGGAGCAACTGCTTGAGGGTAAGTGGCTTTTATGTCTGAAACAAATGGAAATGTTTTAGAACTAGAGAGAGGAAGCAGTTGCAAACATTGTGAATGAACTGAGTATTACTAAATTCTTCACTTTAAAGTGGTTGCTATGGTTTGCCTGCGTCCCCATTCCTATCTCTGACTGTATCTCCCAGAATTCCCGTTTGTTGTGGGAGGGACCCAGGGGGAGGTAATGGAATCGTGAGGGCCGGTCTTTCTCGTGCTATTCTCGTGATAGTGAGTAAGTCTCACGAGATCTGATGGGTTTATAGGGGTTTCCGCTTTTCCTTCCTCCTCATTTTCTCTTGCTGCCACGGTGTGAGAAGTGTGTTTCGCCTCCTGCCATGATTCGGAGGCCTCCCCAGCCGCGTCGCACTGTAAGTGCAGTTAAACCCAGTTTCTTTCCCCGGTCTCAGGGATGTCTTTATTAGCAGGGTGAAAACGGACTAATACGATGGTTCGTCTCAGGTATGTGAACTTCACCTCAAAATTATTATTTTTTTAATGAGTAGCCAAAGGTTTGGACACTGCAACATGAAAAGACGCATTATCATACGTGAATAGACAATATTCACATGAAAAGATAATCAGCATTTTTAGTTATCAGTAAAATATAAATTAAATCTCAGTAAGGTATTATTTTACACTTGCTAGAATGTCTAAAATTTTAGAAATATATACTGAAAACCGTGTGTTAGTATATAGAGGAACTGGCACGTTCATATTTCACTGGTGGAAGTGTCAAACGGCCCAACTGCCTTGAAAAAGTAGTTGGCACTTAGAGAGTTAAGTACACAGCCAATGTACCATCCATCAATTCCACTCCTGATCATACCCAAATAAATGAAAAACATATGTTCATAAAACGATTTTTTTCAAGAACCTTCCTAGCAGCCAAATTCATAAGAGCCCCAAACCAGAAATAATCCAACCACATCAGTAGAAGAATGGCTGAAACTACAAAAGGACACTGTAGTTCACCCAAATAATTACTAGTCAGCAATAAGAATGCAGACTGCTGAGCCGTGAAGCAGCATGTGTGTACTTAACAAGAGAATTTTAAGTGAGAGAAAATGGACACAAATATTAACATGCTAATGGATTTGATTTATATTATCCCATCAACTGGGACAAATATAGACACATAAATGAAAAAGAGTTTCCTTGGAGTGAACTGGAAAGGTCATGAGAGACCTCTCTGAGATGATGAGATGTTCAGTTTCTTTAAGTCTTAGATGCACAGGTATAAATAATTTCCAAAAGTAATAAGATGTAACACTTAAGATTTGCATGTTTCACATTATGTTAATGAATGATGATGTTTTTTTTTGTTAGTGTGATTTTTCACATCTTTCGCAAAATAACTTAATTTCTGACATGTAATTTTTGTGGACAATAGTGTCCTAGCTATTTCTCACTTTATAATAGATTTTTACATATTCAGATTGGATACGTATTTTGCTGTTTTTTTCCTTTCAGCATTCAGTCTCCTACCTGTGTCCAACCTCATTTCGTACGCTAATAGTCACACACCTGCCGATTTCCCATCAAATGACATAATTTTTAAAGTACCACCTGTGATACAACATATTGTACAGCTTCAATTTTAAAACTTTATGAATATTAAAAGCAAATGCTAGTGCTTCCTAGAATGTATTTGGCTTCCCTTTCTACTCACCAGGCCTCACCCAGGTGTTGATTTAAAATTCAGTGGCACAAAATGATTATCTATCATTCTAAATTATCCCATATTCTTTTAATCTTGATGTATCTAAGACAGAAGCCTGGGAAACACTTCTTTTCCCATTGACCATATAGCACATTTTGTCATTAACAGCTAAAGCTTCATCATTTTGAATTTCTTTGTAAACAAAGATTTATAAGTGAGCCTTCCAGCATCTGCCTTATCAGGTTTGTGAAAGGGAAAAATTAAAGCTACTATATTTATTCCAAGCCTCCTCTGTAATGGATCTCACATGAGAGCTCAATTTTATTTTCTGTGTATCAGAAATAAGCGCTATCAAAGATACAGTGTGTAAGAAATTATGTAAAGCCATCACACAGATGGTAGATAATAATATGAAATTGTTGATGGCAATCTGTCCCCTTAACAAGCAAAGAGAAATGACTCTCTCTTATAAATAATAATACCTAGTGCTTGTTAAATTTTGTGGTACTTTTACTTTATGAGAAAGAGACACAGGCTTTGATAATGAATGTTATTGAATAGAGATGAAGCAACCCACAGTCTTTTATTTATTTTATCAGAGTAGGCATGAATGAATAAACAGGAAGATAAATAGGTATATAGATTGATCGAAAGATAGATCGATGTTAAGACTGTCAAGAAGACCTAATAAAGTCACATAGTTGTAATAAGGTTTTATCTGAAAGACATTTTTTTCTCATCAACTTTTTAGTTAACCCCAAGGAAGCAAACTGTTGCATTGTCCAATGCTTTACTTTGTAGTCTCATTTACATTGTTTCTAATGAAATAGTAGAGTGTAAAATAATTTGTTCAGATACTCATTCATGCAATTATTTCAGTTTCTTTTATGAAACCAACATTTTCTTGGCACTGTATTGTGAGAGGAAGTTGTGAATATGATTGTCTGGCCTCCGTATTGAACCTAAGGAATGATCCAGAAAAATCAATAGAAGACTGGTGTATTTTAAGTCTGTAAAATGAGATTAGATTCTTCAAACATTAATTCATCCAGTTAGTATATACTAACTGCTTATTATCTTCCAGACTAGTGAGAAAATTGTATTAAAATGGGAAAGATTGGTCGGGGGTGGTGGCTCAAGCTCGTAATCCCAGCACTTTGGGAAGCCGAGGCGGGTGGATTGCCTGAAATCAGGAGTTCACCACCAGCCTGGGACAAAATGAAACCTCATCTCTACTAAAATACAAAAATTAGCTGGGTGTGGCAGTGTGTGCCTGTAGTCCCAGCTACTCAGGAGCCTGAGGTGGGAGAATTGCTTGAACCTGGGAGACAGAGGTTGCTGTGAGCTGAGATTGCACCACTGCATTCCAGCCTGGGTGACAGAGGGAGACTGTCTCAAAAAAAAAAGAGAGAGAGAAAGAAGGAACCTCAATCCAGGGTGAGTTATGCTGACATTCTTCAACCTTCTAAAATTTAAATGTATTAATAATACAAGTAAAGTTCTCACCACCATGCTTGACACTTGATGGGTAAAAAATTAATGTTAGTTACACTGGAAATAGATAAGCTGTCATCATGATTGTCATTATCATTATAGTAGTTAATGCTACATAATAAGTGCATTTTTAAAGTATACATATATACTTTTACCATGCTATATTTTAGAATAAAACCAAATGATGGAAACTCCATAGATTCAGAAATAATTTCTACTACTACTTTGTTATGTATTTTGAAATAATATTATTAATAATCAAGTGAAAAAGATGAAAATCATGAGCAGAAAAGTATATGGCATCAACAAAATGTAAAATGGGAATGAAACATTGTTAATTAATGTATGTTTTGAATATTACAATACAGTTCAAATATTGATGTAGAGACAATTGTTTGTAGACAATTACTTAGAGCATGCTTTTTTCTCTCTCTTTTTTTGCATTGCTGAGAATCCTGCTCCCTATAAAATGCCAATTTTGGTGTCACTGTAAAGAAGAAAAGAGATTTCAGGGCAGGAGTGAGGAACAATTAAATCAATGCAATGTAATTATAGTTATAAGTGTCATTTTAGAATCACCTATGATGGATTGTCTCAATCTTGACATTATAGGCATTTAGGGCCAGATGATTCTTTGTTGTGTGGGTTTTCCTGATCATGTAGAATGTTAGCAGCATACCTGGCCTCTACCTTTGAGAGACCAGTAGCAATGTCTCCAGGTATTGCAATGGTTCCTGAAAGGGTGAGGGTAATATTGTCACCTGTTAAGAACCACTGGCTTAATGTTGAAGAAGAAATGTATAGGCTTCTGTATATTAAAACACCAAAAGTCTTTGAGAGATGGCTCATACAAGAGGAATTTTGGCCAATTTGATAGAACCTCTGACCAGATAAGACTAGGGACAAATGAAACTGTTAATTATTCAGAGTTTGTGTTCTGAAACCATTCTAGTATAACCCAAGATACATGTGCAGACAAGAGAAAGTGAAAGCAATCAGAAAATATCTCCTATGTGAAAGTAAAACAGTGAATATTGAAAAGAGAAGTGGGCAATTCTAAGTTTTGACAATAGAGAGTGTTATTCACCAGCTTTGTTTATTTCAACACCTGTTTAAATGTTGTACTTCTTAGATTACATATATAAAGTAAACTTAGCAGTTATAAATTTTGTCTATGCAATCATATTTTGACTTTATTTTTAAATGATTAACAAATATATATACTAAATGGGTTATCATCACTTTTCTCAATTATCCAAACAGTAATTAGCTCCAAAAACTAACCTTAATGAAACACCTGGTCTCTTCAAGAGATCTAAATAAGTTAACTGGGATTTTTGTCAATAATTTCAACTCATTTTAAGTACAGAAATTTACCAACCTGTTAGGATATATATATTGTAAATATGACGTTCACTTAAAAGTAGTTTTTGAGTTGGGCAGAGGAGCAATAAGGACCTACTAAATTTTTAGTTTTAAAAATTAATTAATATGATATCCTCATTAATATAATATAAGAATACCAAAAGAAACACTAGAAGTCAGAATTATTTTCTTTGGCTTTCTATGGTAAACTTTTTTAAAGTCTATTTTTATTGTAAAAAAGGAAAATTATTCCTAAAATTTGTATCGGTGGTGGAGAGTGGAGGCCAACATCAACTCATTTTGATACTACATTTGTGTGGCAAACGGTGGGATGATCTGCGGCATTGAATGGCTTCCTCATGGAAGGGAAGTGGCATAAATCAAGCCCTGACCTGCTGCTGCCCCGTACCTATGTACAGACTTGGTTTTAGTTTTCTTTCTTTTTCCCTGGTCCTGATCCACTTTGAACTTTGTTCTTGGATTTCCTCAGCACAACTTCAACTGGCAAGTCCTTAGCATGCTCTTAGGAGTATTAGTATCAAAAGCTCCTGGTAAGCTTCACAAGGGGGACAGGGGGCAAGCTTTCCTTGGTTGCATTATTTTGGAAAATAACAGATTATGTTAAGAAAAAGGAGTTACTTTCGGAGAGAAAAATAAGTGAGTTGTTTTTAGATAAGTAAGAAATTGACAACCCATAGTACAGAAATATTGATGATTCAAAATATGTAAAGAACTTAGACGCAACATTTCCATACATTGTGTAATAAGCATATGGAATGCATTGAGCAAAATGACCATCAAAGAAAGTAAATAAATGAGCGTAAGAAGCAGATGTTTTTACATCAGGAAAAGGATTAAAGCACACACTGGCAAGTCCGCGAATGGAATTATGATAAAAGTGGACAGACTCTTTGAGCCACGTGGTACTTTCAGGTCGTCC